GAATTATTTCTTGCCTTTATTTTATGTCTTGGGGTAATTACGTTACAGCTATCGTCTTCCTCAAATTGGGTAGGCTAATCGGCCTACGACCGACATAAAGTGCACGGGGTTTTGACAGAAGACTAATTAAAACAGATGTTTTAATTAGTCCACAAAATATATTCAACCCCAATTTTCGAATTTAGATAAATATATATTTTGCCTTTATGGCCTGGAATTATTTACATTGAGGAATGAAAACAATGGGCCGGAAATTTTATTATGTAAAACGGATATCTTTGAAGACATGCATATTATTAAAGCCTTAGTAAGGCCTTATTAAGGCCTATGATAGTAAGGCTATATTCTGAGTGGCCACATTAACTTCCCTAAAATTACCAATCATAATATCACTATTCTTGCTTCATAATTTCAAAAATTGCTTTATAATTGCTTTATAATTGCGAAAAGTATTGCAAAAATTAGTAAATAAGTTAACTTTTGACTACAATCTCGCCAAATCCTGACAGATTTATACAAAAACATGTAGGGGATAGCACAGGAGTGACTTGGAAAAATGATCTCATTAGCGAGTTCATTACTCTCATGGAAGATCAAGGTGAAGGGAACTATCAGGGATAAGGGAAGGTCATATTTTGAGTAATTTTGATGTGAATGAGATTATTGTATGCCTCCACCCACTCTCCTGAAGGTGATATTACCCAATTACAGTGTTCTGCAAACTCTTGGTAACTGTTGTTCTAGTGTGACCATTTATCACTAGTAACACATTGGAAAAAACAAACCTCTTCCATTTCCCCCCACGGTGTAGTGTTACGTGTAATTAAACTAATTACGTTACTTGGGCTGCTTATAGAGCAACACTCAAAACAATCACTCTGTCACTTACACAAATTTAAAAGAAGCTGGGCCAGAACCATAAACATAACGCAAATACCACCATAATAAATTGTGTATAATCACAACATAATAATCCACTCACAAAGTTATGTCACTCAATAATTGGGTTCTCAAAAAGTCGTAAAATCTATGAAACATATTATGCACTTAACTGGTAAATCTTGGAACTCGTCCCAACTTAATCTTCAATTATTTCACTGTCTTACAAGTAAAAAATAATGAAATGAATGGTGGAACCTTTACCATAGGACACCTTTACTTATGAATGAGCCTTATTATCATATATGTCAAACGATCAATGTTAATATACTGAAATAAAAAATACCTCACCTCAAAGTGCTGGTTTCCGGTAGCCATACAATCCCTAATTAAACTTCTTTCCTGTTCACTGAGTCCTTGTTTGATACAATGACAGTGACAACTAAAAGTCATATATCATGCTTGTTCCTAAGGCTCCACTCTCTGTGCTCGCGCACACGCTGTGTTCACTCGGCTAATCCTGTCGTCCGCGCACTAAATGGCATTTTGCTGTGCCATTCCACTTGGCATCCACTAAAGATCAATTAAATATCAACATGCCACAACTCATGTTAACCACTAAATTCCTTATAATCACTCCTTGTCCGTTGGTAGCTCCCTGTGTCCACGTTCTGAATGCCACTCTACAATACCACTTGGTCTGGGCGACCATGGAAGAAGCATTCTACCACAAGTCGCTTTAAACTTCATGGTCAGAGAACGAGAATTACACTGTTCTCATCACCTTGTTGTCTATCTGGTTTTCCGGTTTTTCTTGACCTTGTTCCTTGGCAAATCCTCATCTAAGGTCAGGCTTCCTTCCTAACAATTCATTTGCTTCAAATATGGGACGACTTCCATAATACGTCCACCAAGTCTCTAAGTTCTGGTAACCGAGTGAACTTGAAAGTTCCATCCGGAGCTTTCAGGCTTCGTCTCGGGGGTCATATATGACCCTGGGACATCGACCTTTGATTGGGCGATCGTCAAAGGCAGGGACCACAAGCAGGGACCAATCAGAATGTAGATCCTTCTGGTAAATGTTCGTGTAGACAACGGACACTTAACCCAGTGCTCAGGAAAGATCGACTGGGGCCCTAACTCGTAGGAATCTTGTACCATAGCATCCGCTGTGTTAAAAACGGTCTGCATTAAAGTTAATTGTCTCGTGGACGAGAAAACTAACTTTGTAAATCGTAAACACACGTAACCTGGGTCTCCCGAGACGCCCTCGGCAGGTTAGTTTATACAAAATTGTAGTAAATTGTTTACCTAATAGGAAGTCATAGAAATAACATAACGTGAGATATATCTCTAATTATTATCTAAATTCTTGAAATTAATCGTTACGAAATGGGGTACGTATCAGTCAGGAATTGAATAAACAGAAACTTTGACAGCTACGGCTTCTGTTTCCTCGGAATATATTGTAAATATCTGAAGGAGGAGACTGAGAAGGCTATTGCAGGCGATGAGTCACAATAACGTGGCTGAAGTATGTTGACCAGACCACACACTAGAATGTGAAGGGACGACGACGTTTCGGTCCGTCCTGGACCATTCTCAAGTCGAGAAGCCTATTTATGTTACATGCTTAAAAAACATTCATAATTACTATATGTAATTATTATTATTAATTTTGACAAAAAAAATTATCATTAATTCACAATTCATTAAAATTTTAACAATATGCAATTCATTATAATTAAAGTAATTCAAGGTTATTTTTAATAATTATAATCCCTAATTGTTTATAATTAAAAAAAATATTTTAAAAATAAATAATTGACACGATTGTGAATGAATACAGTGTAACTTATTCATTATTTCAATATAAACTGCAACCAGTGGTTAAATGAATCTAACACTGAATACGAACCAAGAGCACAGAACACTGATGCACACCAGGGTACCATCAATGTACCCAGAGAGCTCAGGGTACCATCAATGTACCCAGAGAGCTCAGGGTACCATCAACGTACCCAGAGAGCTCAGGGTACCATCAATGTACCCAGAGAGCTCAGGGTACCATCAACGTACCCAGAGAGCTCAGGGTACCATCAATGTACCCAGAGAGCTCAGGGTACCATCAATGTACCCAGAGAGCTCAGGGTACCATCAATGTACCCAGAGAGCTCAGGGTACCATCAATGTACCCAGAGAGCTCAGGGTACCATCAATGTACCCAGAGAGCTCAGGGTACCATCAACGTACCCAGAGAGCTCAGGGTACCATCAACGTACCCAGAGAGCTCAGGGTACCATCAATGTACCCAGAGAGCTCAGGGTACCATCAATGTACCCAGAGAGCTCAGGGTACCATCAACGTACCCAGAGAGCTCAGGGTACCATCAATGTACCCAGAGAGCTCAGGGTACCATCAATGTACCCAGAGAGCTCAGGGTACCATCAACGTACCCAGAGAGCTCAGGGTACCATCAACGTACCCAGAGAGCTCAGGGTACCATCAATGTACCCAGAGAGCTCAGGGTACCATCAATGTACCCAGAGAGCTCAGGGTACCATCAACGTACCCAGAGAGCTCAGGGTACCATCAACGTACCCAGAGAGCTCAGGGTACCATCAATGTACCCAGAGAGCTCAGGGTACCATCAATGTACCCAGAGAGCTCAGGGTACCATCAATGTACCCTGAGAGCTCAGGGTACCATCAATGTACCCAGAGAGCTCAGGGTACCATCAACGCACCCAGAGAGCTCAGGGTACCATCAACGTACCCAGAGAGCTCAGGGTACCATCAACGTACCCAGAGAGCTCAGGGTATCATCAACGTACCCAGAGAGCTCAGGGTACCATCAACGCACCCAGAGAGCTCAGGGTACCATCAGCGTACCCAGAGAGCTCAGGGTATCATCAACGTACCCAGAGAGCTCAGGGTACCATCAACGTACCCAGAGAGCTCAGGGTACCATCAACGTACCCAGAGAGCTCAGGGTACCATCAACGCACCCAGAATGCTCAGGGTACCAACAACGTACCCAGGTAAGCCTAGGCTTGACTTCACGTGAACAGTGTAATATCTAGAGCATTGGAAGCATTAAAGGGACAAATACCTGTGATTCTCAAACACCTGTCAGTTCATATGTTATTAATGTGGAGGAGATATGAAGCTGTTGAGTCACTTGGCCGGTGAGGAGCATATTGACCATCTAACACCCTCATAGTGGAGCATATTGACCATCTAACACCCTCATAGTGGAGCATATTGACCATCTAACACCCTCATAGAGGAGCATATTGACCATCTAACACCCTCATAGTGGAGCATATTGACCATCTAACACCCTCATAGTGGAGCATATTGATCATCTAACACCCTCATTGAGGAGTATATTGACCATCTAACACCCTCATAGTGGAGCATATTGACCATCTAACACCCTCATAGTGGAGCATATTGACCATCTAACACCCTCATAGAGGAGCATATTGACCATCTAACACCCTCATAGTGGAGCATATTGACCATCTAACACCCTCATAGAGGAGCATATTGACCATCTAACACCCTCATAGTGTAGCATATTGACCGTCTAACACCCTCATAGAGGAGCATATTGACCATCTAACACCCTCATAGAGGAGCATATTGACCATCTAACACCCTCATAGTGGAGCATATTGACCATCTAACACCCTCATAGAGGAGCTTATTGACCATCTAACACCCTCATAGAGGAGCTTATTGACCATCTAACACCCTCATAGTGGAGCATATTGACCATCTAACACCCTCATAGAGGAGCTTATTGACCATCTAACACCCTCATAGAGGAGCTTATTGACCATCTAACACCCTCATAGTGGAGCATATTGACCATCTAACACCCTCATAGAGGAGCTTATTGACCATCTAACACCCTTAATACTGCCCTTAATTTTTCCCGCTACTCGTTATTCTGTATTCATTCGTTAGCGTTAACCTTACAGAGAGCGCAAGAGCGCAAGAGCAAGAGCTCTCTGAGTGAGAGTTATTAAACCTGAAGCTGTGCTTTAAATCGCTCACAACGTCATGGTTTAGTGCAGGTTTATGTGGGCTGTTAGCATGATTTAGAGAGTAATCATGAACAAAGAGGAATGTTGGAAATGGCACTCTGTGGATGACAGGAGCGGCGGGTACTCTGTGGATGACAGGAGCGGCGGGTACTCTGTGGATGACAGGAGCAGCGAGTACTCTGTGGATGACAGGAGCGGCGGGTACTCTGTGGATGACAGGAGCGGCGGGTACTCTGTGGATGACAGGAGCGGCGGGTACTCTGTGGATGACAGGAGCAGCGGGTACTCTGTGGATGACAAGTACAGCGGGTACTCTGTGGATGACAGGAGCGGCAGGTACTCTGTGGATGACAGGAGCGGCGGGTACTCAGTGGATGACAGGAGCAGCGGGTACTCTGCGGATGGCAGGAGCGGCGGGTACTCTGTGGATGACAGGAGCAGCGGGTACTCTGCGGATGACAGGAGCGGCGGGTACTCTGCGGATGACAGAAGCGGCGGGTACTCTGTGGATGACAGGAGCGGCAGGTACTCTGTGGATGACAGGAGCGGCGGGTACTCTGCGGATGACAGGAGCGGCGGGTACTCTGTGGATGACAGGAGCGGCGGGTACTCTGTGGATGACAGGAGCGGCGGGTACTCAGTGGATGACAGGAGCGGCGGGTACTCTGCGGATGACAGGAGCGGCGGGTACTCTGTGGATGACAGGAGCGGCGGGTACTCTGTGGATGACAGGAGCAGCGGGTACTCTGCGGATGGCAGGAGCGGCGGGTACTCTGCGGATGACAGGAGCAGCGGGTACTCTGTGGATGACAGGAGCGGCAGGTACTCTGTGGATGACAGGAGCGGCAGGTACTCTGTGGATGACAGGAGCGGCGTGTACTCTGTGGATGACAGGAGCAGCGGGTACTCTGTGGATGACAGGAGCGGCGGGTACTCTGTGGATGACAGGATCAGCGGATACTCTGTGGATGACAGGAGCGGCGGGTACTCTGCGGATGACAGGAGCAGCGGGTACTCTGTGGATGACAGGAGCAGCGGGTACTCTGTGGATGACAAGTACAGCGGGTACTCTGTGGATGACAGGAGCGGCAGGTACTCTGTGGATGACAGGAGCGGCGGGTACTCAGTGGATGACAGGAGCAGCGGGTACTCTGCGGATGGCAGGAGCGGCGGGTACTCTGCGGATGACAGGAGCAGCGGGTACTCTGCGGATGACAGGAGCGGCGGGTACTCTGCGGATGACAGGAGCGGCGGGTACTCTGTGGATGACATGAGCGGCAGGTACTCTGTGGATGACAGGAGCGGCGGGTACTCTGCGGATGACAGGAGCGGCGGGTACTCTGTGGATGACAGGAGCGGCGGGTACTCTGTGGATGACAGGAGCGGCGGGTACTCAGTGGATGACAGGAGCGGCGGGTACTCTGCGGATGACAGGAGCGGCGGGTACTCTGTGGATGACAGGAGCGGCGGGTACTCTGTGGATGACAGGAGCGGCAGGTACTCTGTGGATGACAGGAGCGGCGGGTACTCTGTGGATGACTGGAGCGGCGGGTACTCTGTGGATGACAGGAGCGGCGGGTACTCTGTGGATGACAGGAGCGGAGGGTACTCTGTGGATGACAGGAGCGGCGGGTACTCTGTGGATGACAGGAGCGGCGGGTACTCTGCGGATGACAGGAGCGGCGGGTACTCTGCGGATGACAGGAGCGGCAGGTACTCTGCGGATGACAGGAGCAGCGGGTACTCTGCGGATGACAGGAGCAGCGGGTACTCTGCGGATGACAGGAGCAGCGGGTACTCTGTGGATGACAGGAGCAGCGGGTACTCTGCGGATGACAGGAGCAGCGAGTACTCTGTGGATGACAGGAGCGGCGGGTACTCTGCGGATGACAGGAGCAGCGGGTACTCTGTGGATGACAGGAGCAGCGAGTACTCTGTGGATGACAGGAGCGGCGGGTACTCTGTGGATGATAGGAGCGGCGGGTACTCTGTGGATGACAGGAGCGGCGTGAACTCTGTGGATGACAGGAGCAGCGGGTACTCTGTGGATGACAGGAGCGGCGGGTACTCTGTGGATGACAGGATCAGCGGGTACTCTGTGGATGACAGGAGCGGCGGGTACTCTGCGGATGACAGGAGCAGCGGGTACTCTGTGGATGACAGGAGCAGCGGGTACTCTGTGGATGACAAGTACAGCGGGTACTCTGTGGATGGCAGGAGCGGCGGGTACTCTGGGGATGACAAGTACAGCGGGTACTCTGCGGATGACAAGAGTAGCTGGTACTCTGGGGATGATTGACTGTTCAAAGGAAGTGGGCGAAGCGCGGGGAATTTGCGTGTAAAATTACACACACACACACACACACACACACACACACACACACACACACACACACACACACACACACACACACACACACACACACACAAACAAACAAACACACACTTCTCACACGCACAGATTCGTAACGATTCGTAACACAGCAGATAATGTAAAAACAATAAGGAAGGAATAAGATGATAATTAAGTTATCAGACGACGATGATAACCACATTAACCAAAGTTATTTAACCTGATACAAATATTTGACTTTAGAAAAATATAAACGTAAAACTGAATTGTTTTAATGAATATAAGCAACTGGACTATGGTAATGAACCACTGGAGATGATTAAGGTGGTTAGCTATTAACGACGCGAAAATAGCCGACCCTTCACAAAATAACCACAGCAGCGCTTACTAACTACTGGCCTCACTCCTCATTAACTAAGAACCGCTAGTTAATGGCTCTGACGAAAAACAAAAGGTCCAAAAAAGCAGTTTAATATGGCATCTCGCCGAGACTTCGTTAGAGGAGCTCGTATAATGTGCAAGAGGAACCGGAGCCGCTCGTATAATGTGCAAGAGTCACCGGAGCCGCTTGAACAATGTGCAAGAGAAACCGGAGCCTACTTGGGTAACATTCTGCGTTAAATCTCTCCAAATGTCTCTAGTGGAATGCACGTGAAATTTTTTTTTAAAGAGCTTGTATAATGTGTTCATCATTTTGTATATGTAAAAGTAAATGTTCTTATCTTTTGTATGCAATTCTCTGTTTCATATCTGTCGGATATTTCTATCGATTTATCTTTTTCGTAATTTATTTTTGTTTATATTTCTTTCCCATTAACGAAATGAAACTTAACGCCCCCTAAAAAAATTGGAAAGAATAATTGAAATTAAACGAGGTATAACATTTCATCAAGTTTAAATGAAGTAATACAAAAGCCTACAGGCTGGAGTTAATAAAAGCCTAATAAATATATAAAAGTCGCTAAAGTGAATTTTCGGTGCTTTTATGCCTTCCATAGTCTCTCCTGATCTGAGGTAGTCTCCTCATTGTGAATTACTCACTATTAGTCAGTATTTAATTATTATTATGATAAATTATCGCCTCTTGTACCTTGGTATTAAAGAGATGAATTATTTTGTACATGCCTGCATGTTCTATCTCTCTCTCTCTACCTGTTTGTGTGTTTGTGAATTATCTACCAGTGTGTGTTCTCTCTCAATCTCTGTATGTTCTTTCTCTTCGTGTGTATGTTTTCTCTTTACCTGTGTGTGTGTTTGCTGTCTACCTGTGTATTCACTCTCTATGTGTATATGTTCACTCACCACCTGCGTGTGTTCATTTTCCATCTGTGTGTACTCTACTTGTGGGTTTTCTCTCTAAATAAGTGTGTTCATACTGGTGTGTGTTCACTCTCTTCCTCAGAGTGTTCTCTCTAATGTTACTCTTCCTATGTGTTCCTCTGCAGTCACTGTTTTGAATTATATTCACTCCTAAACCTCTGATTTCTCTGATTCCTGTAGTTTCCTTTCCCATACTGTGTATACTTTACGGTCTCGTTGCTCCCAATCCGGTCCTCATTACCTTACATTTGTTGGGACTGAACTCTAGCAATCATCTGATTTGCCCTCTCGAGAATTTGTCATGGTCTTCTTGAAACTGTATGCACTTATCCCCCTGCTTTTGCATTCGTCATTCGCTTTGCCTCATCTGCTTGTATTGACATGTCCGAGCTCACTCTCTTTCTGGTAGATCATTCACATCAATTACGGGCAGTAGAGGCCCAAGTAACTGTCAACGTCTGTCTCTGACAGTATGTAGTGTACCTTCGTCGCTCTGTTGTGCTTCTGTCTATCCTGATGTGGGTTTGAGGTGATTATTTTGTCATCCAATATTAATCCAGTCTCTCATAACATTGAGCTTTTCTTCGCTACCTCACATTTCTTGATCAATGTAATTTGATCATTGTAGATAAGGTTTGAGTGAACATGTATATAGCATGATATAAGGGTGAATAATGGGTATATGCAGTGGGGGTGATTGGTGGTGGGGGGGAAGAGGTAATGAACGAGGGAATGGGTAACCGACATGGGGAGGGGTGGCTGGTAATGGAGTGAGAGGTGGTGGGGAGGTGGTGACGGGCCAGCACGGGTTGTGGTCTGGGTTGGGGGGAGGGGGGGAGGCTGGTTGAGGGAGAGCATGTGCTTTTGGAACAATGAAATTTGTTCATAAAATGAACCGCATTTGATACCCTATATTTGCCTCTTTTCATATATTTGGTTTCCCTTATAATTGTTCAGCTTTCTACTGTTTCTTCTCTACTTTCTCGGATGTCGTTAAAGTTATCAGTGTCACGATGTGGCACTATCTTCCCGAGTCTCACTGTTGTAAACAGTGCACCCCTTTAGTTTGTCCACTGGTCCTGTGTGTGTGTGTGTGTGTGTGTGTGTGTGTGTGTGTGTGTGTGTGTGTGTGTGTGTGTGTGTGTGTGTGTGTGTGTGTGTGTACTCAAAATCGTGTTTACAGGGTCGAGCAATAGCTTCTTAATCACATCTTTCTGTCTCCTGGTAAATTAATGTAATAACTTTAATTCTTCCTGTTTCTCGTAGTACTAATTTTTTAAGTTGCTTGTCTAATGGGCTTCATCGATCTCGTTTTGTTGACATTTTAACTTGCATCTCTGATGATATAAGAAATTTTAGTAGATACACACAGAAATCACAATAGCGTGATACATCAAATGATCAAACCCAGAAGGGCCGTAATGAGGGTTCGAAACTACGTCCGGGATGAACCCTGACGCTCCTTAGTCGATTGCGTCACGACATGTTCAATTCTTTTGACCATGTCGTGGCGCAAACGACTATGGCGCGTCTGGGATCATCCCGGACGTAGGTTCGAATCCTCATCACGGCCCTTGTGGATATGTTTAAGCTTTATTAGACTTCTCTACCTCTTATCTCCTGCTAGCTTATGTGAAAGATGTGTGTTCTTGTGATCTTACTTGTGTATTCTTGCATGTATTCGTGTGCTTCTGTACCTGTATGTATTCGTATGCTTCTGTACCTGCATGTATTCGTGTGCTACTGTACCTGCATTCGTTCGTGTGTAAGTAGGTGTAAGCTTACATGTTTATGTTTACGAGACGGAAGGTGTGGGCTGGGGGGAGGGGGTCAGGTTTCAATTGCAGTGCACGAAGCCCTGCAGGCCACAGCCCCAGGCGACGAGCCATCACTTCGCTTTGTATTAATTCTCCCCTTAAGTTACGAGGTCTGACTGGGGGTCGAGGCTAAAAGATGTGGTCATGGGGGTAGTAAAGCCCGATATAACATGCTTTTAAGGTCATTATAATTGACAGTAATTCGAGACTGGACTGGTCCTTCTATCCCCGAGCCCTGAGAGACATTATTATAGTGCTTCAAATACATTACCCAGTTTTTGTTATCATCAGAGAGGAGTTGTGTGTGTGTCCCTACTACTTACCCGCCCGCATTATGTGAACGGAATACTAATGATGGGAAATTAATGCCACTATTTGCATTTTACGTTACTGCTCCTGGGGATATATAGGGATGTGTCTGACGTATGTGGACAAGTGGGCCGAGCGTTCTGGCGGCTGGGGGACTGCCAGGAGGATAGGGGGAAGAAGTCGGGATGGGATGGCTAGGGATCTATGTCATCTATGAGGGATGACTGCAAGCTGTGGACGTCGGTTCATCTTGTTCCTTGTTTACAATAAAACAAAATATGTTTCTGTTTTTTGTTAGTATTGTGTGTTTATGTTTATTGTTATTGCTTTGCTTATTTTGTTTTCTGCTCTCTGTTGGAAATTATTTTGGTTTCTGTTTTATTATTTTTTCTCTATTTCTGGATATTTTGTTATTGATTATTAACACCTCTCCTCCAATTTCACTCCAGTTTTTATTCTCTTCTCTGTTATCAAGGTCTTGGCTATTATCTCTTCGTTCACCTGTCTTGTTTTATAATTTCGTGTCAATTTCACGCTTTTTTTCCCAAATAGATTACTTTCTTACTGGTCACTGAATCTATACAACGCAATAAATTCGAATCTATTGCAAAGTCTCTCTATTTTGGTTATGTGGGACCACCTAAAATGTCGAGAACACTAGATACCACTTGTGATCTTACTTTTCCCTAGTTATAGGTAAGTTCTATGAATGTCACTCGGACACCATTCCCTTTCTCTATCACCATAGCTTCTTTCTGTCACCATTACATGGTTTAACCACCATCGTTATGGTTCTCGGCGGTTGCTACAACTAAACAACAACTCTGTTACTATAACCACAATCGGCATATCTAGATCAGCAATCAGAGGTTACACTATTCTTTACAAAAGTCAAGTTTGCCTTCTTAAGCAGATTCCACAATTGCCCACCCACAGCCGTCCCTCCCACTCTCCCACAGTCATCATTCCCACCCACAGCCGTCACTCCCACTCACACCCGTCACTCCAAACCACAGTCATCCTCACCACTCTCCCACAATCGTCACCACCATTCTCCAACAGTAATTACCATGTAGTGTAGTCAGATACTAATCAAATCAGAAGTCATTTAAATCTCTCATTGGAAACATTTTCACCACACTTTCATATATTATGAAATATTATATGAATATATATCACACTGAAAAAAACTTTACATGTGTTGTCAATTTAAATAATATTGGTAATATGAATATTTATAAAATCTGAGAAAAATGAAAATCACATATCAGGATATGTGATGAGAAGAAATATGAGCATCATCACGTTTGACCAGCAAATAGATTTGTGCTCGCTATATTGTTTCAATCGTAGGCTAGACACACGTATATGAATGAGATTAAGTGTCTATAAATATGAGAGGCCTTGAAGATAGGCCTACAGGCCTATCTGCAGTGTCTTGTATTCGTTTTTTTTATGTTAAATCCCCCCATCTCTAATTATACTTTATTCAGAACCTAG